TTCTTTAGATTTCTTAGAGTATGAGATGAAAAAAAAATGGCACGAAGAGGTTACTTTAATAAAAAGCGAAGCGGACTGCAATTAGAAAATAACGTAATAGTAGCGATACTCTTTTCGCAAATTTTAGCCTGTCTTTTTCGCTTAAGCGCTTCTTCTAACCACAAATTTCATAATACGCCAAACTCTTGCACTTCGTCTGTGCAAGATGATGATATAGTCTATGCCTGCGGAAACGTAGGATTAACATGCATCACATCCTGGAGCTGAAGAAGGTTCCAAGGGTTCGGTTGTTCGCCGATGAAAGTGGTAAACTCATTGCCGTGATTAAAAGAACAAAAATTTTAGTCTTATTATTTAACTATATGCGGGAATACCAAGCAGGTAAATCCGCAGGGCGCGAAGCGACGCGCCCCCAGAGACTTTAAGTTAGATTCCCAAAAAAAATATATAAATTTATATGATTGAAGAACTTCAAAAAAACGATTATCCATTTAAATTCTTTAAAAAGACTTCTATCAAACGTAGAACCTTTCTTTAGACAGAATACTCTTCAATCTCGAAAATGTATAGATTTTCTCTTATTCCAAGAGATTTTACGTATGATGTGGAACGAGAAGAGCATCGAAGTTTAGAAGGTTTGCAAAAAATTAGGGAAATTCGTGATCAACAACGGAGATTTAGAATAGAAGTATCTGATTCAATTTGGGAAAAGAGAAAGTCCCTTGCTCTTAGAAATAAGAGAATCAAAAAGACGTGAGTTGGGTTTAGAACGTAGAACTTTTCAAGACACTGCGTTAATAGATGCGTAAGCAATTATTTAGTTTCGGCTTATATCGGTGAAGCCTTGACTGTTTGAATACACATGGTAATACCGAGGGAAGAATATGCAAAATTTACTTTCTGCAAATGTGTAGATTAGTTGATCAAATTGGAGAATTAAATGATTCAAAAAAACATATTCTCTGATACAGTTGCATCTGAGTTTAGAACACTATTCCCCGTAGAGACTTCCGATCTAGCAAAACCGAAGCCCAGCTTGTAAGAGTATCCAAGATGCAATACAAGGTTAGGAAGGGCAGCAGTTTTGCAAAGATCGGGGATACTGTTTCTGATTAGAAACCGTATAACACGCCGACTCTTTGTAGACAGGAGATGTATGCAAAGATGAAGATATAGTCCGTTACTTATGGAAACATAAGAGTAAAACGCGTGAGACAGTTCGGTTCCTATCTACCGTTGGTAGGTTTATGAGAATTGAGAGATTTAGGCCCTAGTACGAGAGGACCGGGTTGAATCAACCTCTGGTGTATCAGTTGTGACGCCAGTCGCAGCGCTGAGTAGCTACGTTGGTCAGAGAGAACTGCTGAAAGCATCTAAGCGGGAAACTCTACTCAAGACAAATTCTCTTTATGGGTGAAAGACCATCACTTTGATAGGCGGGGAGTAGTTGCTTTGTGAGAGGTTAAGCTTACCCGTACTAAAATTTCTTTATTTGATTTCTTTGTCTTATGGCTTCGCGCCATTCTTCAATCTGAGTTTTTAGCGCAAGAAAGTCAAAAGCGCTTCGCATCTGAACTTAGACCTGATGAGCACATTTTTTTATGCACCGCATGCATGAACATATGCATGCATGCTCCAATGCTTCATATTCTTTCGTTTGCTTGCATTAAGTACGGAGCTAAATGTTTTTTTCCACGGGCAGTTTTTATGCCCGTTTCCTTTGCAAAATCTTTTAAAACTTGTAGATTTTAAAAATCTTACTTTATTGTAGAACAAGCATGCGAAGAAAAAGCAAGCGATGGCGCGCGTTATGTACGTTGCTTACGCTTGCACGGGTTGCGCAACCCCGCTTTGCTTGCTCATTCTGACGAACCTGACGGAAACCATCTTCGAAAACAAGCTTGCAAAGCAAGCTTTGCAACTCTTAACTTCAGTTGCTTGCTTTAGTTTGCGGATTTTATATCCCAAGCAAAAGTTGCTTGGGACGGACTACATAAAAGAAAATTTAAAAAAAAGAAAAATATGATTGTCTTTTTTTTGGTAATTTCGCCCATACTTTATTACATTACTAGGTTTTTCAATTTTAGTTTGACTTTTTTTCTTTTTTATGTATTTCTCACTTATCTAGTCACTCGATTGGTAAGGGAGCTAGATCGCAAGGGATATTTGACTTCTACCAGCCTGTATTTAGTGAATAATAGAATTACGCAGTATCTTGTGTTTTCTGCTTTAAGGTTTGAAGAAATTTTGCTTTCGTACCCCTTTTTTGGTTTTCTTTTTTTTTATATTTTCTTTTATGTAGTCATCTCAAAAATGTACGTCTCACCCGATCCTCAACAAGGCATCTACTGGGCGGTGCTGACTCTACATTTCTATATGATTTTGTATTTTAGATTGAGGTGGAGAATTTTAAACGATTACCAGTTGGACCTCTATAAGGGACGACCTGGCTTTACTTGGACTGACGTCATACTAGAATTGACAAGATTCAGTGGTCTACCTATAGAAAATAAAGTTCAAAGTAAGTGCAATCAGACCTTCTATAACATTATTCCTAAGCGAGGAATGCGCAAAGTAGCAGAGAAAGCAATGGAGAGCCCTGAAGTCCAAAAAGTGGTTATCACTTCAGGAGTTGCTGCTGTGGCCGCCGGTGTTGCAGCTACAAGCGATCTCTTGTCAACTCCCGAAAAACGCGCTATAAAGGAAAAAGAAAAAATCCTCAAAAGCGCCGAAGAGGAGCAACAGAAGGCTTCTGATCAACTTGAGAAATTCCCTATAACTTCAGAGATTATCACGGATAAAGCGAAAGAAGAGAGGGGGCGATTAGAGCACGAAGTCGTAGCAGCAAACGAGACAGTGCGTCTGCATAAAAGTGAGTTGACTGACCTTCGCAAAAAAGCTTCCGAAGGAAATTCACTTCCCGGGCCTGATCCTGATATTGGCATTGATATTACAGATTTGTTCCCTTGAAGTTCCACAAGCGCAAATCTTTCGCGTCTTTCGAACCTAAAGGTTCCGTAAGGAACTTGTTGTCGTGTTGCGCACCGGGAGGTTTACCAACGCAAGCTTTGCTTGCTTTTTTTCATGGTTGCGCAACCCCGCTTTGCTTGCTCTAACGAGCCTAGCAAACGAAAGATCGCTAGCAACTCGCAAGCTCGCCCAACCGGGGCAAGCTTGCGCTTCGCTCCTTTCTTAGGGAAGATCGCAAAGCTTGCTTTTTAATGAAGCTGACGGGACATTATGGCATGGGCGCGCAAATTTCTAGCGAACCTGACGCTCGTTAGAGTCACAAGCAAGCTCGCCCAACCGGGGCATTGCCGCGCTTGCGCTCGCCCCGCGCCCATAATTGCTTTGCAACCCCGACGCTTCGCTCCTCGCTTCGCGCCTCGACTCTAACGTAACGAGCCCAGCTCTCTGGCATTTTTACATGCGCGCCTTCTAACGAGCCCACCTCTGAGCCGTATAGGTAGGTGTCGTTAGAGCAACCACGGCCCTAAGCAAGGCAAGCTTTGCTTGCCCTTTACTTTAGGTGGGCGAGCTCAATATTGCAAGCGATGTCTCCGCAGGTTTCCGCAGGGGACTTTGCACCTCTAACGAGTCTCGAAGAAAACGAGCGCAAGCGCGGCACATATTGTAATGCCTCGCAGTGCCGGAGTTGAAGTTTTGCGGGTTTGCTTCGCTTGCGCTCGCACCGAAGGCGCCATCGCGAGCTTTTTTGCTCGCTCGCACACTTCGCGTCCTTCGTAAGAACAAGCAAGCAAAGCTTGCTTTGGAAGAAGCTTGCTTTGCAAGCGATGGGGTTTACTATTTTACACAAATGTTTACATGCAAGACAAATAGAAAAAGATAATATTCCTTAATTATACACACTGACAGAGGCACAAAACGTTCACGAATAAACAGTTTTATCAAATTTGTCAGCAATAGTAAAGAAAGCGTTAACTCTAACGAGCTTTAAACAATCAAGTTAAAATGAATATTCAAATCAAGCAACTCATTGGTTGCCCGAAGCCGACCCATCTTGTGAAGCAAAAACATAGAAACTCTAGCGCGCCTGCCTTTGGCCCAAGTTCTGTTCGCTTAACGCCTTTCACTCTAACCGAGCCTTGCTAATTATTATCAATTTTCCTGTGGAAGTACACAATACATCTCTAACTAGTTTCAAAAAGATAGTAGGGTTCGCTAGAGTTTGATTGAATTCGATAACGCTTTATTCGAATCTACAATCGAAAGGTATAGAGTAAATAAAGGAAGGCTCGCTAGAGTTAGAATCATTATTCTTCAAGATTTTATAGATCTCTGCGAGGCTTAAAGTATGCCAACAAATGGATTACTTTTTCAACGAATGGAAAACAAGCATGACATTGAATTCGATATTCGCGACAATAAAAGAGAAAGAGCTATTTTCTATCAACAGGTAATGCCTTATTTTTTTTTCAATTTAAAGTATTGCGTTTTTAACTTTTTGGGCGTATTTTATATTAAGCGGCAGGTTATGTGTAAAACGTGCCGTTTATTGTGCAAGAATAACTTGAGTTTAAATGAGTTCCTTCATTAGAATGTTCATCATTTATCAAAGCACTGTCAATTATTTTGGCGGCATCCTTTGGGTTTAATTTAAATCTATTGTAGCGTACTGTGGTCGTTATGCTTTGGTGGCCTACTAAATCTTTAACTTGTTGTATTGGTACTTTTCGTAGTAATTGTGTAATATAATTAATGCGAAAAGAATGAGAGCTTAAGTTGAGGTTGAAGTGTTGAACTGCAGGTTGTATGAAGTGGTTTAAAGTCATGATCCATTTATTTTCTGTAATAATAGCCTTACTCCTTTGACTCCATCCAAGAATATCCTTGTCTCTTTTAAACACTAAGCTGATGTCATTAGAAAGATGTTGTTTTAGCTGCTTTTTTAGATATTCCGTGAAATATGTAACTTTGTACTTATTGGTCTTGGATTGATATATATCGATTTGACTGTAAATTATGCCATTGTCAAGCATATCTTTTGTGATGTGTATGAGCTCACTGGCTCTTAACCCTAGGAAGAAGAGTAAGGTAATGGCTATTCGATTGCGGGACCATACAAATTGGTTAAACTTTTTTGGCTTCTTGAGTTTCATTATAAAGTCATAAATAGTATCAGTTGCTGGTTGTCTTAAGGGTAAAGTTTTGTGTTTTTTCTTTGGTTTTAGGTTTAATTGATGCTCTTTGAGGTCTCGTACATCTTCAACTAGATTACATAAAAGGAACTTTAAGTGTTGGTACTGTGTGTCAGTTTTGGCTTGATTTTCAATGTAAGCTTGCTTTAAGTCCTGTGTGTTGTCATGTGTTGTCATAATAATGTTTCGCCAATCAATGTGTTTATTGCCTTCCGTGGTAGAAGCTATAGCTTCTGCTTTAAATTGTTGAATATTTTGATTGATTCGATCATTTAGGTTCCAATGGATTAATTCTTTTGGTAAAGCCGTAGTTGTGGCAGCTAAGGTTTTGGCTAACTCATTCTTGCTCAACCCTAAACTTCGCTTGTTTGGGAAGTTTTCGTTGTAAGCATTAATCTTGTTTGTTATGCAAACTTCAGCAAAATATAATGACTTAAAGGTTGTAGGTAACTTAAACTTACTTTCTATTTGATATTTTATTGTTCTGAAAGTTCGTTCAACTACAGAGTTGTCAGTTGGTTTGTTTGCTCTGGACATGGATGGTATGATATTGTGATTACTTTTAATGAAATTGTGATATTCTTTAGATGGAAACTCAGCACCTCTGTCTGTATGAATTATGATTTCATTATGATTTCATCTTGGATTTTGTGTTTAGCTATTAAATCTTTAAGTAGTCTTGTAATATATTTAGCTTTAATGCATCCATGGTTTTTTACTAAAAATAATTTGTGTTCTATTATATTTTTGGCAGCAAAATCTATTATTATTATTAGTTTTATTTGATGATCTGGCTTGCTTTTGAGTTGCTGGCTTAATGTTGTTAAGTCTATTCCCCCAATACTT